AAAATCTACTTAACAACTTAAGAAGAAAAAAAATCGGAGCTCTTATGTTTTTGAAATATTAAAAGAATAATTGATTTTCCCTCGAATTCAATTTTAATAATAATTATATATCAAAGAAAGATATAGGCACTAAAATATTTCTCTTTTTAAATAATATGCGACGCTGAATGTTAAACGATAAATAAGGATATCTTAAGACTTTTGGCTACTATACGTTCTTAAAGTCTAATTAACAAAAAAGGGAGCTCATGTTTTTTTAATTAAAAAAAATGAACGAATTTCCCTTGAACTCAGTTTTAATAATAATTATATATTTAAGCAAGATATTTCGTTACAAGCACTAAAATAATTCACTTTCAAATAATATGCAATGCTGTGTGTAAAACGATGAATAAAGATATCTGGAAGCTTTTTGTTACCATACATTCTTAGCAAAAGTCATCCTCTAATTGCTTTTGTCCGGGAACAGAACAATCCAAAATATTAATATGGATTGCGAAAGATCTTTCTCCAAATGACAGCAATTCACTTTTTGGAAATGCTAGATGGCGACATGTTTTTCTTGATGCAGGTTGCATTTAGTGCCCAAAAAGAGAAAACTTTGCTTCGAAGTAAGAATAGTAATGGACATGAAACTTTTAAGCAATTAACATGTAAATCGTTATGATTTGGGGAAAATCTTTAGCACTGAGAATTTTTTTGTTTTGGACCAGGTCTTCTAACAGTCTATTTGAATTTCCATAGGACAAATTGCTCCCTGATATAAGCAGGCCTTTTTTGTATTCATATGAAGCAGAATTTGTGCAAAATCTTATGCGTGAAAAGAAGAAAACTCTTTTGTCCTGTTGAGTTTGAAATAAAATATATCACATTCTCGGAAACATCTGTTTCATTTTAGTATATCTTACTACAATAAACGTTATTGGTTATCCAGGGTTCCCCACTGTTTGAAAATTTACTGTGTTGTAGAGTTTAAGCGAAGCACCAACATTTTGCGGTATTTTCACGATCAAATTCGCAAATGAATCACTATTCGTTGTAATCACAGGTGCCTGTGGACAGGACAACCCCCCCCCCCCCCGAAATTCAACCCCAGGCCTTAAATTATATTTATTACACTTATTCAACATATGTACAATACGAAAAAAAAATCATAAAACTTCAAGAAAAATTGCTCCACAAAAAAAAATACCCCATAATACATTATAAGAGAGTGAGGTATGCCACTCCGGTTTGTTTACGTTGTAACCCCAATGATTTTCTGGGTTAAAACACTTATTTATTTAATTAAACCTAAAATGTCGATTTACACCGTCTCTGCATATATTTCTGTCTTGGTCCATGCTATCAGATTGACTTTGCATCTCGCAGGAATCCCATAATTTCTCCTTAAACTGCATTCCAATCAGAACGTTGAAATTTCCTTAGGTAAACGCAACGGATGTGCATAAAGAATGTTTCACTTACGACGATAACGTCCATGAAAATTTTGACTTGACGTTATAATCTCTCTCGGTGTTATCATAATTCAAAGGTGGGGATACAACGTAAACAAATCGGAGTGGTATACCTTTCTCTCGTATTATGTATAGAGGGGTGATTTTGTGATGCAATTAATTTGGTGGTTTTACGATTTTTTGTAATAAATAGAATTTGTGAAAAAAATGTCCAATAAGCCCTGGGATTTAATATCGAGAGGAAGGGGCTCCTGTCCACAAGTTCCTGTGCATCATTTAAATGATTTCGGTACTATATTATTTTTGACTTACAGTGCTAACATATTTCCAGAGCCGTGGCTCTAGAGAAAAGACATATATAAATATATATTTTTAAAGAATACAAATGTACTTTAATGCAATTACCAATTAACAGTTACATGGAAGTGTGAAAACAAATTATTTGATTGATTACTGATTGATTGTGTAAAGTGAGGCCAAAGTGCTATACCTCTTATAATTGAAAGACGGTAGAATTGTTTCTTAGAGAGACTTTATATGTTTGGATTTTCTGAATATCACATTTTACTGTGTCGGCAAAATTTTTTCTGTGTCGCTCCCATAAAATTTTAATCGCTACTGTGTAGGAGGAAATTTTACTGTGTCTGGACCAACACAATAAAACAGCTCATGGAGAACCCTGAGTTATCGAGCAACCAGGCTTTAAGATAAACTTGATGAATTCAACTTCAAACGTCAACTTGCCTGACTTATGCAGCAATACACCTTTGTCACTTGCATTCGAACTATATATCTCTCAGTCGATTCGATACGGTAGAACGCAATAATTTCTAAAATATGGTATGTTATTGACAAACAGGTTGATGAAGCACACGAAAATAATTATTCTTGTTTAAAGTCATCATTTCGTAAGTTACATTGTCGATACAATAACCTTGATAGCAAAATAAAATACAATAGAAAAATCATTACCGATAAGTCAAACGCTTATTGACTTAGGCCATTTTTACAAACTGATTTGTCCACGATTTTTCCCATAATTTCCCATACATAACAAGAAACACGCAGCGGGCGTGACCAGTCGGAAGTGGATGCTCACTCCTCCATGGCACCTGATCCCACCTCTGATTTTTTAACAGAGATCCAGTTATGCTATGCTCAATTTTATATTGTTTGATGTTTGATGGGCTTTAAAGCTTGACTAATATTCGTTAACTCAAAATATTTCATTTCTTTTTTTTTTTTTAAACTAACAATTTTTTGCGTAGTATATATGTAAACAATTCAGTTGAGATTAACCTTCTCTAGCAATACTGTTTTTATTTCATGTTTGGTTGAAAACGGAACAAATAGCAAGTTTAAAGCATTCGTTCATGTTAATTGTTATTGCAGAAAAGTAATGTATAAAACTTTTGCTCATTATTTTTTTTGCAATATTTGCATGTAACAAGTGTGCATTGGTCAGTAGAAGCTATATATGTCAACTATAGTTTTGTTAATGTATAATTGATATGGTTCTTTAAAGGAAATAAAAAAAGTTATAAAACATGATAAACATAATAACCTTTACTTCAAATTCAATTTTAAAACAGTTTTAATTTATCATTCTTACAATTACCATTTTTTTTAATACATTAGGCATTATAAAATAAACATTAAATCATTCTTTACATTTCTGTACTTATATTCATACCAGAGTAACATGTACATCTCACGATAAATGTAAGCATATATAATATAAGTAAGAGGATGGCTACGATCCCGAGACTGATTATTCCATACACCATGGAGTTCAGTTCTTCATCTGTACTTGATGCAATGTCAGAGAGGTGACGATTCATTACGCTACCGCTATGGGTGTTACTGAGGCCATTGGAATTTGTGGCTAAATTAGAATTAAAAATGGAAAATGTTCTTTCTTTCAATAAAATGTTTTTCTTGCGTTGTTATTTTTCAAATAAAATTGCAGCTGTCGCAGAAAAAAATATGTAAGTTTCAGTGGGTTACGTAATTTTTATTTCAAAATATCTGTTCCTGTACTAATAAACAGAGCGGGCCTTTTTTTAATTTATATTCATAAGCGTATATAGACATTCTTATAAATCATAAATTAAAATTTGGCATTTTTGATATGTTAAAAAAATCATTTTTATGTCATATATATTTTTATGCTATATTGTGATTTATTAATAGAAGAGCACTGCTAAAGAAATATATATCCAGGAATAACAAAAAAAAAACAAAAAAAAAACAAATAATAATAAAAAAAAAACAAACAAAAAAAAAATACAAAACAAAGACCGTATTTTTGATAAGAAATGAAAAACTAACATTAACAAAAATATAATCATTAGTGTCATTGCATCGATCAGGCGTTGGAGAAGAAACTTAATTCAGAAGGAAAAATATAGTTTATTTACCATTTGATGAAGAAGGTACAGTTGATTCAGAATGGTGTTGTTCAACAACTACTATTATTAATTTATCAAAGTATGTAAATTAATGTACATGTGTAAGTACATGTGTATATTAAAATCATTTGCACATGAAAGTAAAATATAGTTTTAAATTGAAACTTTTGTATACGAATTAAAAGTACGTGACGAATTTTTTATCTTCTGTGGTCCAGTTTTCTTCAAACAAGAATCACCCGCTCCATGTAAAATTTCTATAAGAGCAACTTCAAATGATATTTTTCTCTATTATTGAAAATATAATATTTCGTCGATAGTATCTATAATTTGTTGTTTGATTTTAGTGATTATGATCATTTGTGAACAATATATTTATGCATTTACTTAAATGTTTGGATTTATTTTATTAAAAGCTACATGTATATAATGAGATGTAAATGCTTTATAGAAATACACCTTCCTGGGTTTTCTCCGGACTAGACTCTGTTACAGTCGAAGTTTCTAAATCTGTAATTCTAGCTGAAAATTCTTCTGAGGATGTCAGAAGAGTAGAAGTTGATGCTAAGGTGTATGGTGTGGTATGTTTAGCTATTAAAAAGTATCAAGAAGAATTAATATAGACCTTCTGAAAATGTAAGTACAGTGTAAAAGTAGCGAATAAAGACATACATCGTCTTTACTAAGTCTATATATAACAAAGTATAAATCATTTCTCAAAATTCAAGAATATAATCTATGTTTCATAATCATAGAACATTAATTGAAACTATATGTACGTTTCGACTTTCAATATGTTCGTAAGAAATATGTGCCTTTATTTCCTTAAACTATATCCTTTTATTTTTATCGAATAACCTGCATGAAAGGGAAACGAATATTAACAATTTATAGACAAACAATACAACATTGTTTACTCTACAGTACTCGTACCGTTAAGGTTCACCGGACCAGAGCAGTGCATGCACAGAGTACACTGCAATACTTCTGGGAAGCCTTACCGTACCTGCGTCTTTAAATTTTACAAAACATCCTTTTGTGTGAGTACAATTATCTTTGGAACAGTTGCCATGTTACTGAAATCCGTAATCAAAGCTAGGGTATCAGCACATTATTCGAAACGTACTTACTGTTGCAACCGTAAACATGGTGACATTTTTCAACAGAACATTTACACATGGACTCGCAGTTGACACCGAATGTTGGAGGAGGTCAAGGAAAATTGCAATCATGACCAAAATAACCTTTTGCACAAGCTGTAAAGGAATTCCAAGACATGAATTAAGCTAATGCGCAACTGAATCACTATTCATAATAATAACCAAAGAATACATGTACACATTTTTTTTAAGAATCGCTAGTTCGTTACACATATGGTATGGTGGTACATATTGATATAAGTAAAAACACGTGTTCTGAAAAGCAGAGGAAATTCTGGTCGATACAGTCGAATTACTTAACATTTTTTAGAGTAAATTTGCTGTGATTATTAGTCAGTTTTCTTGATCGTATTACCAAATTACAAAAAAAAAGAAACTTCAGAATAGGAAAATACATTTAAGAGTTCCTTATTTGAACATGTTGAACATTTTAAGCAATTCATTTACATCAATTAAATGACTTCGGTACGATGTTATGTTAGACTTACGTTGCTAACATAATCCTAAAGCTCTATATAAAAGACTGATTTAATTTTTTTTCTTAAAAAGCAATACATTCTATTTTAATGCAACTACCAACCGTTACAAGGAAGTGTGAAAACAAATTATTGATGTTTGTTTCTTCATGCGTAAAGTCCGGCGAGGGTCTTGGAGATAATTGATTATGCAAGCTAAATTAAGGTGAAGCTCCAGTAATTAAGTGCTCCACCGTTTAGAATTGAAAGACGGTAAAATTGTTTGATTAAATTCCAAGTTAGAGAGAATTTATGTTTTGATTTTTAATTATCACAGATCTGACTGTGTCGGCAATTTTTTTACTGTGTCACAAGCATAAAATTTGAATCGTAACTGTGTCGGAGAAAAATTTTACTTGTCGGAAGCAACACAGAAAAACAGCTCATGGAGAACCCTGATTGGACAGTTTATGAATGAGTATTTTGAATTATTATTAATATACAAACGTATGCATTTATTCACTGCCTTGTTCCACACATATCCACTGCAACATGTTTTCCCACCTATCCTGGTAAGCAAAATATTCACATGTACATGTATTAGCACACAAATATTGTGTTTTACGACATGTATTATGTTTATTATAAAGAATTCATTTCAGGAAATATAACCTTAATTAGAAAATGTCTTCTAACAAAAATAGATAAAGTCAAAAAGAACAAAAACAACAACAAACTAATTTTCAATCATTGCATTGACATTCAACAATCACTTACAGTAATTTTCCCCAAAGCCTTTTACAATATCTATTGTTTTATAAAATATATAATTTTTAAATTATCTACAGATTTAAATTCTTCCTTACCCTCCGCATATCTGTGATGTAGAAACTAGAAAATAGTGCAAGAAAAAGTATCCAATATACATCAATGTAGTTCGTAGAGTAAGATCCATTTTAGAAATTTAACAATATTTTAGCATTTCCTTGTTTGGTTTATTATTTCCAAAACGATCTAAAAATTAATTAGATATGTAATTACATGTTTCCGTGACAATCAAATATCTCATCTCTATAAACAAATTTTTAATGATTTTATTTCAATTTATGCAGCTAAAATGAAACAACGGTGTTTTCTTTACTTCTTTAATAACGTCTGATTTGAAGACAATCATTTTTTTTCTTCATTGGTCATCATTCATTTTTGTTTATTTTTGTATTCTACATAGTCTTTGATTAATATAATTAACTTTTTTCTGTATCTTTCCCTTCAAAAAGAATAAGAAATAGATTTAAATGATAAAAATATAAATACCGGTATATCTAATTATTGATATATAAGTTTACGAAACAGGAGAGATAATAGCAGTTTCGATTAAAGTCATCATTTCGAAAGTTATACAGTCGATACATTGACCTCGTCAGCAAATATAATTTATCATTGAGTCAAATGCTGACTGACATTTTTCACACTTGTTGTTAGTCCAGTATTTATACAGTGATCTGATGACGGACTTCTCCGTTATTTCCCTATCATGTCAAGGAGCACACGGTCGGTGTGACCGGTTGGCAGATAATGCTCACTCCTTCATGGCACCAGATCCAACTTCTGATGTTTTGGAGGTCCGTGATTGCTCTGCCCCCATTGTGTTTGTTTTCTTGACTTTGATATTGAATATAGTTCGTTATCTCAGTATATTTCATTAATTAGATGTTACGTTACAGAAATAGAGGAAATACAACCGGTTGAAAGATACCTATGCCTGTTTTGTATGTTTATAGGATGGTTCTCAGTAAACTGCTTCTTTTGCTTTAATTTCATATCAATTGGTGTTAAGCAAAGGCCTCGCTTATTGGACAACCTTTTTTGAAATTAAATCATATGAATCAGAGAAACAGGAATTATTTACACACGTATTCAAAGATAAATTTTAAGTTTTCACTATTTTTTCCATAGGAAACTTTACACCTTTAGTGCCTGAACTGTATACTATTATTTTGCATGTCTTTGTTGAAATAACAGATTAGAATATACGATTAAATATACTTCTCTCTGTGGTTTGTGAAGTATCCTGCTTATGGATAGTTACCAGATGTTAGTTACATGTTTTTTCCCATCTAATCAGCATCCAGAAACACGGTCAATGAACGACGATGTTATGAATGAACTACAGATAGCTCAGAATCGTATCTTATGACAAAAGTAATACCAAATGAGAAGAATAATAATATAGGTCTGGAATTTTATATCTCAGAACACGTTAAGATAAACGCATTCAACCCTCAACGTACTAGAAGTAACAGATGGGATCTTAATATAAATAAAATAAAAAAGCTAAATTATTTTTCAACAAGAGAAATACTAGTATTAAGAAGTATTTAATCAAATTTATTTACTAAACGTTGTCCTTACAGTCAAGTACAATTACATGTGTATAAATTCAGTCTTATAAACTTTTCTTAAAGTATTTTGACAAAGTTTACGTATCATTCCAAAACAAGTTGATTTTGTTTACAAAAATATTTGTTGACAATCTCTCTGGGCGTAGAATTGTATCGTCTAGTATCTTCTGGTATTTCAAGTTCTTTGACTTTGTTGGTACACCACCAGAGACCAGTCGATAGCATTTCCAGACACTTGAGCGTTTGGTCATAAACAAATAGTCTTTTGAAATTAACCATGAAGCTGTTTCGAATTTTTGTAATCGGTTTTGAGAATCGCGTTTGAATTTATAGACAATACATGAATTTCTCCTAGATTAACACAAAAACAACAATTTCATTTTTCTACTAGAAATATAGACTGACTTCAACATTTTCTGCCTGATATACCAAAAAATACGATTCTTTTCCTGTACCTGAGGCTGTATCAAAGAGGTGAATCATTAACGAATGTCTCTCGTTGTAATATTGCTATGTATGGTTGCATCAGAGACTGGATAAAAAATATGAATATGATAAAATGAAAATTAATGTTCGTTTATAGGAAGCCGTGTAATATTTCTTTGATAGTATCCTTTAACCTTTTTTAAGGAAAGTTTATCTGTTGAACAAAGTGATACATATTTTATTGATTGTAAATTTTCAATGAAATTACTTCAATTATTTATTTACTCTAAGTAATGATTAAACTAATTGCTAATCGATTTTCAAACAACTTAAGTATATGTGTATATGGATAATTAGTTCATGTATGGATTTATGTATTTGGAAAATTTTATTTGCTTTCTGGTTTTGCTGTATGTTCTCTACAGCCCGACAGGTGAATGCAACTTTTAATCCTACATGTACGAATCCCTTTACCTTTCCTTCCAAATGTTGGGAAAGGTCAATGTGAAAAGCAATTCACACCATAAAATCTATCCATACATTCTTGTAAACATAACAAAATGTGGTGTTAAAAAAAACCTTGATACAATTTTACATCTTTTCTGCACTGTTTATTCATTAAGATAAGAGGCATCACAATAATATAATAATTAACTAACTGAAAGAACATGGAATTTTTTTTTTCGAAATTAATAAAACGGATGCAGTCTTTTAATGTTTCATTCCACATATATATAAAACAACAGACGGAAGATCCATCGGATCTACAAAAAATATATCTCACTTGACCAGAAATATATACCATAGCATTGTGTTACTTAATAGTAAAAGGTACAAAAAGGCCCTTTTTACATATACAGAAAAAAACATCAACTCAAACAATATATAGATGTTTATTATCTAGGATATTTGAAAACATTGCTCATCCATCACATCTGTTTGAAGATGATACATGTAACAGCCTAAGTAAAGTATAGAATAAATGCTTGAAAAGGTATTTCATACACCAATTGTTCTGCGTCATCGATACCATGTTTTCATTAACATCCCCTTTTTGGGCAAAAGATATCAATTAAGTCAATTTTATAATCATTTTACGTGAAATGTAACAATAACAGAAATTGTTTCCTATTTATACTCTACAATTTTAATTGCAATTAGGGCATGTGATTTTTTTTATTGAAATTAACTTAACCTTTTTTTATATTCAGTTATTCATGTAATCAAAAGCAATAAGGAATTTCAAAACAATACTCATTCATCAAAATAAAAAAAGGTAAAAAAAAAAAAAAAAAAAAAAAAAAAGGTATAAGGAGAATATTTTCAACATGCCTGTTCACAGAAAATTCCAATGGATGATTAAAATATTTTTTACCAACAGAGCAATATTAAAACAGGCTTATTTCCATTAATTCAAAGGATAAACACGTGCACTTTGTCAATTCACCTACTATGTGTGTATTATTTTAACTCATTTATCAAGGGATTGTTAAAAAAGACCCATAATAATAATCAAGTACAGGAATCTATCATTTTTAACACTACGAAATTTGTTTCCTTATTAATAGTTTCCTTAAATGACCTAAATATCCATTATCCTCAAATGACTTAATATTTATTATCTATTTCTTTTAGAAAAATCTATTGGCCTTTCCTCTGTTTTTCACCCTATACAATAGTAAAACAAACTGCAGAAGTACAAGGCATGCATGTCAATAAATAAATTTATTGGAAATGCACGGATGAAATGTGATCCCTCTTGTGGCAACCATTCATGTATTTTTTTTTTCATTTTATTTTTCCAGCCAAAATATAATAACTATATTTATTTAAAGATTGAAACACAAAGGTACACAATTTAGCTAAAGTTATTATCAAATGATTACTATTTATTCCTAAATATGATTGCATTGCTAGTATGTTTTTGCTTTTATACTCTTTCTGGAATTATGGTATTCTCTACTATTCCCAGAGTCGTACATGTATGTAAATTATTATAAACTTGATTACATATATGTTTCCATGGGAATATTTCCTGTAAATTCGTTATTTACTTGTAGTACAGGATGCAATTAGCAAGGTACTTTTTCGAGTACAATATATATTTTTAAAAAAATAGGAAACTGATTTTAAATTCATTTATTTACAACAATTCGTTTATCTTTTTATACTTGTGATGAAAAAAAAATTCCTGCTTTGGAGATCATTTGAACTCTGTTTTTACTTGTCAACAAATCTGTCAAATAACGGGCGATATTCTCCAAAACTCGACGACGAGGGAAACATAATCTTGATGACTCTAACATTTCAATCGTCGACTTTCCTTACTAACATACATACATCTATTTTTACGTCCTATGGTCGAAACAATAACCTTGTCAAATGCTTACAGACTTTTTTCATACTGATTGTCATGCCATTTTTTACACACTAAGTTGTCCAAGACCCCCCCCCCCCAAAAAAAAGAGAAGGATCACATCTTCATGGCGGGTGTGACCGGTCTGTATGGGATGCTAATACCTCCATGGCACCTGATCCAACCTCTGATTTTTTTAATGGATGTCCTTGTTTTACATGCTCAATTGTTTTTGTTTGATGGAATTTTAACTGTTCGTTATTTACATTACATACAATACATTTATCTATTTTTTTAAAAATAGGTAAAGAGGTAATGTTTCGCATAGTATATAGAAAAACAATTCAGTTAAGTTTAATCTTGTCTATCAATCCTGTTTCATTTCATGTTTTGTTGAAAACTGAGCAATTAATGTATATAAAGCTTTCCATCATAATTTTCCTTTCTGCAATATTTAAGTGTACAATTGGTCAGTAGAAGTAATATATGTCAACGTTGTTTTATTAGTGCATAGTTGATGTAGTTTCAAAAAAGAATGCATAAAAAAAGCAACCAAAATGAAAAACATAAAACAAAAACATGAAAGCTTTTCACTTTTAAATCATTTTTAAAAAGTACTAATTTTAACTTAAACTAGTTTTAATTTATCATTTTTTCAAGTCCTACAGTTTAGTAATACAGTAAGCATCATAAAACAAATAAAAAAAAAAACATATATCTAAATCTCTGCACACATAATCATACCAGTTTTATATCTCTCTATGTATGTTATCATATTCAATACTATCAAAAAGAAAGCTACGGTCCCAAGAGTGATTATTCCATACACAAAAGAGTTCAGTTCTTTATCTGTACTTGAGGCAATGTCAGAGAGTTGACGATTCATTACGCCATTACTGTTTCCATAGGTGTTACTAAGGCCATTTGAATTTGTGGCTAAATTAGAATCAAAATAATAAAATTTTTTGCTTATTCAATATCATTCGGGGTTTCTTTTTTGTAAAGTTAATATTGCAGCTGTCACAAAAAATAATATAAATGTAATCTTCAGCGGGTTACGTATTTTTTTTTTTACCAAAATAGCTACATCGTTTGTTCCTCTACTTATAAACATAGAGGGATTTTTTTTTATAATTTATATCTATATGTGTATATAGACATATCAAGTAAAATTGAACACATTAAAGAGGAGACAATTGATGTTGATGCCAATGATATAGGGTTGTTTTTTATATGAAAGAGTAAACCTTAAGAATTCAATGAATGTATAGCAGAAAAATGGTCATTCTTTGATCAAAAAAAAAAAAAGAAAGAAAGGCGATAATATTTTTAAGGGGGCCGACTGTGGTTTTATTGTGTGAAAACTTCAATAGCGAAACTATTCATTTTTATACCATATATAAGTTAACTTACATTAACTTAAGTGTACTTGCAAAGCGTGGGGGGAAATCTACCGCCCAGGTATTTTCAAGGGACCGTCTCAAAATACAGGTACATTTACTATAGGAATATATGGGAAACTGCAAAATTTTCACACTAAAATAGACTTTTTGCTCAAACTATAATATATGATGTGTACATGTGTAATATTATATTGTACATTATATGGAAGAACCAAAAAAAAAATGGATAGTTTGCAGCATTCAATCCTCATCTGTAATTACAATTTAGATAATGTTAATGTGACAAACTCAGATTTTTGAATTTCTTGTAACTACGATTGGAACTCCACACAGGTAATAATAATAAGATAATGCATATGTACATTACCAACAATAGGACTGCTTTAACTAAAATTCCAACAAAAGTGACAAAAATTAAATGAGTGACGAATTTTCAATCTACAGCCGTCCATTTTTTTTCAAACAAAAATCATTCGTTCCTTGCGAAATATCTATAAGAGCAACTTTAGAATATTTTTCTTTACTATTGAAAATATTGTTTTCTTTCGATAGTTTTAATAATTTGTTGTTTGATTTTGGTGATTATTATCATTTGTGTGCTATATATTTATCCATTTAATTTATTGTTCGAACTTATTTTACATTTAAAACAGTACTGTAAGATGTATATGATATTGAAATATACCCTCCTGGGTTCTCTCCAGACTAGATTCTGATACAGCCGAGGTGTCTGGTCCTTTAGTTGGAGCTGGAAATACTTCTGATGATGTTAGAAGAGTAGCTGATGATTTTAGGTGATATGGTGTGGTATTTTCAGCTAATAAACAAGCGATAAAAAATATTTTGACCATCAAAAATTGCAAATACAAGTAGCAAAAAAAAGCGTACTACACATTAACTTAGTATAAATCATTCATCGAGAGAAAAATTAATGCTTTTTAACATTTGAACAATAATAAAAAATATATATGTATGTAACCACTTTCAAGTTTAACTGAAAAAAATCTGCTTTTGTTTCGTTACACTATTTTCTTAATCTAAAATGACCCAGATAGAAAGGGAAAGAAAAATAAATACTTTCTGCCTGGTAGATTCACAATGTACATGTATAAGTAAAATACTGTTTTTTTTCCTTTAAATTATACCTTTACATCCTTTAGAGGGATCACAATGTTCTTTGGTACAGTTGCATTGTAATTGGCATTCGTCACCATAGCTAGGGTATCGACAGGTCTTCTCACAATTATAACCCAACTTTCCATATTCACAACCAACTATTTGCATATATTTTTTTTAAATAATTGTATCGAATTTTATCATTTTAATTTTCAGATAGCAATTAAACGAGGATATATTCTTAAGAATATGAATAAATACCATTGCAGCCGTAAACATGGTGGCATTTTTCAACCAAACAATTGCACATGGACAGGCACAGGACACCGTAATAGGGAGGTGGACAAGCTAATCTGCAACCGTGACCAAAATAACCCTTCGCACAAGCTGAAAACGGATATAAAGACATGGAATAAACAAATAAATCAGTATTTGACAGTTCCTTAATACGACTGAAATATTAAACTATTATAAAGATACAAACGTATGCATTGCTTCAATGCCTTGTTCCATATATATCCACTGCAACATGTTTTTCCAACTAACCTGGTAAGCAAAATATTCATATGTACATGTATTAGGACTCAAATATTGTTTTTACCATTCATATTCTGTTCATAATTAAGAATTTATCTAGGGGCCTATAACTGTAATTAGAAAATATTTCCTTAAAAAATTAATAAAAACAAAAACGATGACAACAAACTAATTTTAAATCATTGGCATTCAACAATCAATTTCCCCCAATGCCTTTACCGTTTCTTTTGTTTTATATAATATATCATTGTTACAATATATACAGATTTAAATTCCTCCTTACCCTCCGCATATCTGTGCTGTAGTAACAAGAAAACAGTGCAATAAAAAGTATTCAATATGCATCAACGTGGTATATAGAGTGAGACCCATCTTAGAAATTTTACAATATCATAGCATTTCCTTGTTTGATTTATGATTTCCAGAACGATCTAAAATTTTTAAGTCTGTACTTACATGTTTCCGTTACAATCAAATATTTGATCTCTATAAACATCATTTTAATTATTATATTTCAACTTATGCAACTAAAATGAAACATTGCTATATTTTGACTTCTTTAAATAACGTGTTACTTCAAGACAATCAGTTTTATTTTCTTAACTGGACATCATGTTTTTGCATTTTTTTTTTTCTTAATAGTCTTCAATCAATATAACTAACTTTTTCTGTATTTGAATACTGGTATATCTAATTACTGATAAACAAGTTTGTGAAACCACAGAAATAATATGAGTTTCGTTAAAAGTCATCATTTTGAAAGTTATACAGTCGATACATTGACCTCGTCAACAAATATAATTTATCATTGAGTCAAATGCTGACTGACGTTTTTCATACTTATTGTTAGTCCTATATATATACACTGAGATGATGACGGATTTCTGCGTTATTTCCCTATCATGACAAGAAGCACACGCGGCGGGTGTGACCGGTTGACAGGGGATGCTCACTCCTCCATGGCACATGATCCAACCTCTGATGTTTTGGAGGTCCCTGGTTGCTCTGTCCCCTATTGTGTTTTGTTATATTGACTTTGATATTGGATACTGTTCGTAATCTCCGTCTATTTCATGAATTAGTTGTCATGTTACAGAAATAGAGGAAATACAACCGGCTAAGGTATACCGATGTCTCTTTTGTATATGGGATTGTTCTCAGTAAACTGCTTCTTCTGCTTTAGTTTCAATCAAATTGGCATTAAGCAATGTCCTCGCTTATTGAACAACCATTTTAAAGTTAATGTGATTTAACCACTTAAGGTTAAATCCATTTATCAAAGTGCCATTAAGCTTTATAGTACGGCGGCTTTTCGAGGTATCATTCCGGTCCTGGGCCTGTATTTAGTGCCATCCTGTACTCAGGGTTTTGGGGTTATTAGTTGAACCCAAGCACCAAAACCTATGACATCGAGCGCAAAAAATCAAGTTTCTTCAAAATTTCACCCCCCCCCCACAACCACACCCTTTAATAAAGGTAACATGTTAACGAAAATTATCTGCTGCTTTATCGTGTTTTGTTCTGTTTTCTTTTCCATATAATATAAAACCTTAATCCATACCCACAGCAATGACTTGCCCAAATCGTTACCGCTGAAAATGCATCCTACCTGGAGGAACATATTGCCCAAGCGGATATTTGGCTCAACAAACCTATATTCTTAAGAGCGAGTCTACGAGAAAATCATGCAAAATTAAAATTTGTCACACAAGTCACATTTTAAAAAGATGATTCTAAATACATAATTTTGAAGAGAATGGACCTATGAAACTATTGTGAAAAAAAATTCAACAAAGGTGCCCTCCTAATCGAGATAGCCCCGAATCTATTTATAGCCCACTGGTGGGTTGGATTTTCAAGGAAAAATAGCACTTTTATAAGCCCTTCAAAAAAATAAAATAAAACAATGATTTTGAAAAATTTTGTGTTCCATGTTGAATTAATAAGTTTAACTTTTTTGTTTATAGTTGAATTTTGTTTACCAGATCTTATTCATTTGGGAAATTCAAAATGTTTTACAAGTTTGCCTTTCCAGAAAGCCTGAAATATCATCTCTTTGGTATCAATAATGTCAAAGAAATAAAACAGAAAGGGAGATATTTTAATGCAATGAATATATGGATTATTACACCTGAAGTTCCCAAATGACTTATTCAGCAAACTCCACAGTAAAGTACGCAGTTTCTTTTGGCCGCAGTATATATATATATATATGGAAAGCATGGACGTCTGCGAGAGCACCCAAGGCGATTTTTCGTGAAATTTCATTCTAGCGGTCTTTGTGGTTCTGGGTGTTTACAATTTACTTAAATTCAAATACTTTCCTTGATTCTGCTTGAACTATATTTTCTTAACACAATACGGAATTATCAACAATAATTATCATTCATTTAAAAGCAGCTAATCATTAAAGTTTGACAGGAATTAATTTAATAAATCCAATTACAGACTAAAAAATTAACATAAAATTAGCGTTGACCACTCTTCATTCATTACCGTCTTCCAAGGAAGACGGTATTGTATAGTTGAAGTTTTTTACAGTCTTTGGACTATACACTTCCTCTCTTTTGTGATTGGTAGAAATTCCATGATTAGAAAATTTTCATTTATTTCATTGGTTGAAATGCTGTTCAAGGCAAGGGAGATAACTTTCTGATGATCTATTTTTCGTACGACTTAACAATTTTGCAAGTTTTCCAATCTTAAAAAAATGACAAAACGAACAACAAAATGAGCAGTAATTATTTCTTAATAACATGATGTCTTTTTATAGCAATAAATAAAAAGGTCTCTTTAATTTCATTATAAATAAAATTTGATAGTTATTGCTTGCAGGCTTTACAATTTGTTATTATTCTTTTCCCCTTTCTTGTTTGAAGAGTGAATGGGAATCAGTCGAGGTTTGCCGAAAGCTCTCGGCCAGTCAAAGTTTACGGAGATGACCGAGCGACAACCGTGGTAGGGCTAATGCCCGTAAAAAGCTAATTTAGAAATACAAAATCAAGAAATTCAAAAGAATTATACGGCCTGTTAAGTGTAGATCTGTTTACTGTTTAAAATTGTTGCTAAAGACGGTAAGCTTTTTTGAAAAGCTCTACTTGTTTTTTTTGCAGAATCTACTTTTGTGCGAGAACCAGTTTTCCCTTCCCGTCAACAAATCTATATATAGAAATCACGTCATTGTCGATTCTCCTTGTGTGGCTTACCCATTTACAATTGTAATAAGGCATAGTACTGAGGATCAATATATATACGACACACCGAAACTATAGATATTTATAAGCATCGTACTTCTTTTCTAAATTTTCCTTGGCTTTCAAGGAAAAACCCCTACATAAACAAATACATGGGCGCAGACATTTGGGCGCAGACATTTTGGACACCCAAAGTTGTGCGGAGGAGAAAATGCTACCTGGCGCGTGATTGGTCAATAAGAGAAAAGACTTGATATGTATTTGACAAGTGAAATAAAGTTGATAAAAATGTAATATCAAGACTTGGGTTTCTTTGAGATATGTAGGAGTTACAGGTAAAAATTTGAAAGGAGGGGTGCCCTTTGGTTAGAGATTTTCATTTGGTGTCAAACGCACCTTGTTGTAAACAAATGGAAATTGAAAGTAAAAGTGCCGCGTGACGGTATATTTTTTCTGGCATGTTTTGTTTTCCAATATCTCGAACTTTCACGACAAAAAGGCCATTTGCCCGAAATTCAATATATGTATGAGTGACAGGGGCTCAAGTTTGTATGGAAGTCTATGGGAAAACATTTAGTGGTGGTGTTTGTCCAATAGAATAGGTATGTATTTCATGGAAAAACATTGATTACAGCCAAAAAATAAATCAGTTCCTATTTTTTTGGCATTGAGATCATATTTTAATTAGTTTTTACTATTTCTTAAAAAAAATAGAGGGTTTGGGTAAATTGAGGTCCACAATGGGGGCTGCACATGGTGAAAAAATGCAAAAAATTTTGCCCTAGCTCTCATATTTTCAATAAATGTACATGTAAATAATTTTAAATAAATATTTCTGCTGAAATTTGCTGTGAATATTGTAAATAATACAATATTGATGTTTATGGGCATCATCAATACACAGAACATATGAATATCCCCCTCGCAGTTTGAGAAATTCATTTAAATCCATTTATTTTATGAGTGCAGACATTGGAACAGATTGACTAATCCTCTTTCAAATTTGTGTAAATTAGAGTTGATTGAATAATTTATAACAAAATTAGACTGCTGTTAAGTAATTAGGTTACTTTGTTTTTACTTAAGGGGCCTAATCCAGCAACAAAGCCAATTTCAGTCATGTAATCAGTGCTGGCTTGATATAAAAATTATAGTTTGGGGAAAACTTAGAGATTACTAGTAGGAAATTTAATTTAGATTACTGTAAAATATATTTTAGCAGAAAATACATTGAAAATCAAAGAAATTTGCAAAATTATTATTGCAGAAATGATGAAAAAAGTGTCTGAATATCCTTCCTCTTTGCCATATCCAATCTTGTTATTCTGCAGAAAAGAGAGGGGGGGGTTGTACTCTAGATAATGATTCTGGAATATGAAGGAATTTTTTTAAAATGTGGTTTATTTCAACAACAAGAGTCATGCTTATCTGCAGTTATTTTTTTTCAATTTCTTCGATATTTTTAAAAATAATTATCTCAGTAAATTCTATTTAAACATGAATATTTTAAAGCTATTTCATCACTAATGCTTATAAAAAATTCAAAAGATGGTGTAAATAATAAAAAAATATAATATAAGCTACTACATGCATTTATCAGTATGCTTTTATAAAATAAAATGTATTTCAGCGATGCATTGCCAAGAAGGAGGAGATTAATGAACCCTCTCCTCTTACAATGAACAACACATGGACACTCTCAGGATGGTCCCTTTGCTTTCATTAAGAGTTCCAAGGTATGGTTTTCCTAGAAAATCTAGTTAATCTCTTAATATTTAAGTTATTTAGAACTTTTGATAGATTATTAGAAAATAAATTTCTTCAGAACTGCAGTTATTTAAGGATGTACAACACACCTACCCCAAAAAATTCCTGTCGTTTAATTTTCGTTATTTTTGTATATCTAGTACATGACTATATCTACTGCATGTATGCATATTTTTTTTTGACATACATATCATCAAAACAATTTTTAAAGACCTTAAACTGAAAAACTATGAATTTTCTAAGCCTTGAAAATTGCGTATATTTCAAATTCAATTTTTTTTGTGAAAAAACCTGTCGTTTAATTTTGGTAAAAAACTTTCTTTAGGTAGCTGGTAGTAAAAATAATCTTCATAATTTTTTATATAATTTTTGTACGACCAGTTTTGATTTAATAGCGGAAAATTACCCCCTCCCCCTTTCTCAATAAATCACGTTCCCGCGCGTCTTTCAGACGGGGGTCGATCACTTTGTTATATGAATCTACAAATACACATTTAAAAAAAATAAAATGGAATATTGCTTTTGCTTCAAAAATATATTAACTTACAAATTTAAAAGTTCTCATGTGTAAAGCGTATTTAAATGTAGATTTTTAGGCAATTTTTGAATACCCCTTTCACCCCCACCCCTTCCTTTTTTGCGTCGCAGACCATTAGCGTTTGACGAAACATCGTTTACAATGCAAATATACTGGTATTTCGTCAAAAATCCCGGAGGTATGCATTAGTTTTTAAGAATAAATATTGATTACTCTTTTTATATGTACAGTGTATCAGGAAAAAATTACTGAAAGATTTTAGTGTTTAGTCCATCTACGTATGCGTTATGCATTCCATATCACATGAAATCTGGATACGAATTCAAGTTTTCTTGAACTTGAATATGTTGATTTTTAATTTTATTTCTTTAATTTTCTTCATTATAAAAATGGTGTATATCAACTCTCCTGTGATATAAATGGAACAAGTAACAGCTTTTCAAAAAGCTTGCCTGACGTAATCAATCAATATCTGTAAGAGAAGTGATAAACCTTTTGAGCAATACTTTTTAGCTCACCTGAGCCAAAGGCTCAAGTGAGCTTTTCTGATCAAAATTTGTCCGTTGTCTGTCGTTGTCGTAGTCGTTGGCGTCGTCGTTGTCGTTAACTTTTCACATTTTCATCTTCTTCTCAAGAACAACTGGGCCAATTTCAACCAAACTTGCTACAAAGTAGCCTTGGGTAAAGGGGATTCAAGTTTGTTCATTTGAAGGGCCACGCCCTTTTCCAAGGGGAGATAATAATGAATTATAGAAAAAATAATGGCATTTTTAAAAAATCTTCTTCTCAATAACCACTGGGCCAGAAAAGATGAAACACATGTGGAATCATCCTCAGGTAGTGTAGATTCATGTTTGTTCAAATCATGACCCCCAGGGGTAGGGTGGGGCAAAAATGGCCGATCAAAGTTTTACATAGGAATATATAGGAAAAATCTTTAAAAATCTTCTTCTTAAGAACCACTGGGCCAGAAAAGATGAAACTCATGTGGAATCATCCTCAGGTAGAGTAGATTCAAGTTTGTTCAAATCATGACCCCCAGAGGTAGAGTGGGGCCAAAATGGCCGATCAAAGTTTTACATATATAGGAAAAATCTTTAAAAATTTTCTTCTCAAGAACCACTGGGTCAGGAAAGATGATGATCATATGAAATCATCCTCAGGTAGTGTAGATTCAAGTTTGTTCAAATCATGACCCCCAGGTGTAGGATGGAGCCAAAATGGCTGCTCAAAGTTTTACATAGGAATATATATGAAAAATCTTTAAAAATCTTCTCAAGAACCACTGGGTCAGGAAATATGAAACTCATTTGAAATCATCCTCAGGTAGTGTAGATTCAAGTTTGTTCAAATCATGACCACCGGGTTTATGTTGGGGCCAAAATAGCCGATCAAAGTTTAAGATAGGAATATATAGGAAAAATCTTCTTCTCAAGAACCATTGAGACAGGGAAGATGAAACTGCTGTGGAATCATCCCCAGGTAGTGTAGATTCAAGTTTGTTCAAATCAGTACCCCCGGCGGTAGGGTGGGGCCAAATGGCCGATAAAAGTTTTACATAGGAATATCTAGGGAAACCTTCTAAAATCTTCTTTTCTAGTACTTGAAAGCAGTGCTTAGTGATATTTAAAGGGAATCATCTTTAGGTAGTGTGGATTCAAGCTTTGTTCAAATCATGATCCCCTGGGGGTTAAAATTCAAGCCCCAATCCTCAGTAAACTTTCAGTTCTGATCTGATGTGTGCTTTTTCCTAGCCAATTGCTCAGGTGAGCAATGTGGCCCCTGGGCATCTTGTTTGTGTTTGAAATATGTCTTTTTATTTGAGAACCTTGTAAAAATATTTAATCATTTAACTTGTAAAAGAACGATGCCTTTGCTGCATTCTGAAGAGTTGTTAACAGAATGGTTAATGTATGTGGGTTTTCTGCCAATCGCAACTTTTCGGTCCCACTCCTCGGGCCTTATCTAGGGAAGGAGAGCACAAATGTATTGTTAATTTATACGCCATGACACCCCCCCTTTTCACAATCTTTGAAATAAAGCATGGATGATGTATATAGACCTATTTTCTGTGGAAAATGGAGTTAACTTTATTCAATGTAATGATATTATCTAAAATATACTATAGAAGGGACTTCTAACTCCGTTTTTACTATGAACAGGTAACTGATGTATAAATTTTTAACATCCGATAATGTCGATACATTCGAGTTTGACCTCTGACGAAAAGACCCGAGATGATGCGATTGCCTTTTCTGCAAGTAGATTGATCTACCCCTGGATCTAAATTTAAAGCTACACCTATTCTGAAATCTGTTGTCATATCATTCATTGTGAACATTTTAGAGAATGGATATAACTAAATACATATGTTGTAGGAAAGCATTTTCTCCAATGAAGTAAACAGTAGTAGTTTGTGTTCATTGATCTTTTTTTTTTCTGAAACGTGGGTACTATAATTTTTTGAGAACGAAATAGGTAAATCCAACATTAAGGCCTTCGTGGAAAAGAAATCCAAGATTTCGCACAGGTAATTTCTTTCGTCAAATCGTCTGGAACCTGGTTGAACTGCGTCGATCGTTTGTGGTGATTGGACTAGTCCATCAAAATATGGAATAAACCAACAGAGGGGAAACAAATTAGAGAAATTATTTCTTTTGTTTTGCATGTCCATATTCTGATACATACTATTCATATGTTGTTTTAAGGAATAAGATATAATTTGTAGATAGAATTTCTGAATCATAAGAAGATGGAGGTTACAATAACAACTTTATTTAATTCCATGGAAGTTAGCACCCCAATTCATACAAAAGAACAATCCAAGAAAAGGCGCGAAGATCGCTTACTCGTGACATTTGGCGCGAAAAGAGCGATTCACCCCTTTTGTAGAACATAAATGGACTGATCCAGTAGTATAGAAATGCAGAAAAAAAGAAACACGGACACGTTGAAACGGTAAATCACATGGAATAATCTGTTTCATGCAAACAGAGTAAACAAAGTAAATACTGCATTATTTTGCATCAG